AGATGGTCACTCTGTGATTGAAGTATTGAAAATAACGTTTTGTTGTTGGGACTAAACTCCAGTAGTATTGAAAAAGACCATGGTAGCTATATGGTGATCAGCGGCAGATGTGATTCACTTTATATTTTTGCAACCGGGCCAAACCATCATGGTAGAGTCCTATGAGGAAATCGATGATATGTACTAGAAAATGCATCAGTGACAGCCGGCACTGTTCAACAGAGGAAGTTTAGTCCTGCTCCACGTTCATTATTTCCACAAATCACTGTCTAAAAATTAAACAAACTGTGCGTTGAACTTCTGCCTCAGCCAGTACACTTATCCGATCTCTCGCCAACCGACCATCATCTTTTCAAGCTTGAATAGACTGACGCAACTACTACTACAGAAAACAACTACTCCCCTGGCTAATACCACGAAGGGCGTTGGATTATATCCGACAGGCGTCAGTGCGGGAATCTTCACAGAAAATTTCCTGCATATGCAATTGGCAATACAACTGAAAGAGTCGACCTTCAATTTTGGAAGCATAGCCCACTGACTAATAAGTTTTTCTTCCTTATTCAGAGGAATCGGGCAAATTACGGATATGAAGTTGGTTAGTACCTCGTCCACTAGATGAAGTGACATTTTGTTGTTCGCTCCAACTTAGGAAGAGGAATGAAATACTCTAAAAGGATTCCGATTTTCAATTATGGAATATCTCTGACTTTAGGTCGATGATGGCCACTATCTTGCACTGATGAGTGGCTAATGAGCCCGAAACCGGTCTGCAAGTGTGCCCATTCCAAAATTGAAGGTTGACTCTTTCAGTTGTATTGCCAATTGCATATGCAGGAAATTTTCTGTGAAGATTCCTGCACTGACGCCTGTCGGATATAATCCAACGCCCATCGTAGTATTAGCCAGGGGAGTAGTTGTTTTCTGATAGGCGTCACTCCATTCAACCCACTGTGTAGGTATATTCGAGACTGGCTTGAACGTTTAAAGTTCTTTCTTTAGATTTGTTTACTACCAGTCTTCAAGAATATCCCACTGACTAATAAGAAAGTAATCGACTTGTGTTACATTGGCACAGGTAAACTGATAATTTTTGATTTCCCAGGGATACAGTGCGCAATCCAAATGTTTATATCACAAACAATTATCTTTATTGTATTCATGTTGGGACACCCTGCACAAATTTTTGCAAATTGTGAAAGTGAAAAGCAAAAAACCTTGATTTAAGTCAAACACTTCATTGCTAACGTTTTCAAAAAATACTTAATTGTGAGATTTTCACGTGTTTCGCCATACACTGGCTTCTTCAGACGTGTCTTCACTAACTAATTCTACATATTCAATGCTGAATATATTCTATTCTACAATTTGAAGTACCTACATTTCAAGTACCTGATTCTTACCTAAGTATGTAATGAATTGAATTTCCTTAGTTTATGTCCCAGTTTTCACATTTGAAAAAATATTTAGTAACGGGGAGTTATTCAATTCTGATTGATCATTTGGTAAATTACCCAAATTCCTGGATCAAAGTGTGTTTTGAATACGTTAGTTATGGATTTTCATCAAGTATCGGCCAATTCCATCATATAACCTCATTGCTTATGCTCATGCCCCATTGCTACAAACGGGCCCACAACAATCACGATTGATTGAATACGTCATGAAATTTGAATTGACCGATATTAATAATCAATTTGAGCACGTTTGCGCTGGTCATTGTATAATTTAGATTGAAATATATACATTTCCCGTTTGGATAGGTGATTTCTGTTGGAACACTCGAAATATCGTTACATAATCCATGGCCCTTGTTTGCATTCAATTCTATTTGTAAAGTTCATAACAATTGTATGCTCCCGTATAATTTTTAGAATACTGTTGAATTTGAGTCTGACCTACAGTGACTTCCAAAGTGGTAATCGTGTTGTGAAAAAATACAGCTACATAGCAAAAATTATTTTCTGTAGTAATTATGAACAGTTTGATCCAGTACTTGACGAAAATTAGCAATACTGTGCACCTGTGACTTTCAAAGTGGTCCAGATGGACCCCAAGGGGTCCAAGAGAGACTCGACGCGGATCTACGTTGGCGTGACCAAAAATGTGGGGTTCACAATTCGTAAGCGAAGATCCACAAAAATTTATATGGTTTCGATTAGTGAAGAACAAAAATGTTGGCTGGATTTCACCTATCAATGTAGGCCGATACCATTTCAAGAAGCTCAGCGATTGTTACATGTTGAAACTTGCAAACTCCATATTCAGTAAAACGTGTACTCTAAAATTTATTTCAAATGTAACGTTTTTTCAAATCATTTGTTTACCATTTAAAAATGTATTTCCGATAGCCTGTTTCAATTTTAACAAAAAATGTCTCTTGGTTTTTTTGCCCAAAATAAACCAGTTCGCAGTAAAAAATTATTTTAGGAACAACTACAGAGATACATCGTCATAAATGCGAAAATATGAAACTAATATATCTAGTAGGTCGCTATTAGCGATAGTGACAATTAAATTGGTATGACGCTTTCAGTTTGTGAATTTTCGAAATTGATTTACTAATTGTGTGTTGTTATTCTGTTCTTAATTTGTTACTTTAATAATTCACTTGTTATTAAAATGACATACACAAATGAGGAAATGGCTGATATGCATAACGTTTACGGTCTGTCGCAGGGGAATGAGTTAGAAGCTTCTAGAAGATATGCTGAATTGTATCCTTAACGGCAGCATCCTTCACATAGAATATTTGCTCGACTCCATCAACGATTACGAGAATATGGTTCATTCGACAAAAAAACGGAGGATTGTGGCCATCGAGAAGTACGAGCACCACAGCTTGAGGAAGCATTACTTAATTTGATTGAAGAACAACCAGTACTAGAAAGATTGCTTTCCAGCTGAATATTGATCATTTCACGGTATTTCGAATTTTAAAGGAACAACTCATACCCTTATCATCTGCAGTACAGGCACTGTTACCGCGGGACTTTCCGAACCGTTTTGAATTTCGCAATCGGATGCTGGAAATGATTAGAAGAAATTGTGACTTTCTGAAAACGATAGAATTCACATACGAATATAGTTTTTTTTGGGAACAAGATTATTGATTTTCATGATTACCACATATGGGCTGATGAAAACCCTCACGCTATTGTCGAAACTGACCATCAAGAACAGTTTTCTCTTAACGTGTGGCTCGGAGTTATTGGAAATGATTTAATTGGGCCTCATTTTCTACCTCCTCGATTAAATTGTGAGGCATACGTTCAATTTTTAAGAGGAGTGCATCCAGAACTGCTGAAAGAAGTTCCTTTGGGCGTCAGAAGGGATATGTTTTTTATGCATGATGGGGCTCCCGCCCATTTTGGTCAAGTAGCACGTCAGCTTTCAACTGAAACATATGCAAATCAGTGGATAGGTCGAGGAGGACCACAGAACTGGCTCGCTCGATCCCCGGATCTCAATCCTCTCGATTTCTCTATTTTTGCCATTTACAGCATTTGGTTTATCGTACTCCTGTTCGCGATGTAGAGGACTTAAGAAACCGCATCATCGATGCGTGCAGAGAGACTCCAGGAATATTTGAGCAAATACGTGGTTCAATGCGCCGACGTCTAGACGCATGTGTAATGTCTGAAGGTAGACATATTGAACATTTACTATGATTTCTACATGTTGTGTGTTATGTTATCAATAAATTAGTTTTGTTTATTACCCTTTAATCGTTTAATAGAGGTACTAACTACAAAATAACAATAAATCCAATAATTTTTTGCTGCGAACTGGTTTATTTTGGGCAAAAAATCCAGGAGACATTTTTTGTTTTGGAAGAAACATGCTATCGGAGATAAATTTTCCAATGGTAAACAAATAACAAGACAAAAAATAACATTGGTAATGAATTTCAGGGGTCGCGTTTTCCACCCCTCACAACCATGGGGTAAACCAAATAAATTACTGGCTGAGTGTCTTTTTGGTAGTACAAAACGTCAGGTTGCTTTCAATGATGTAACTTTTTCAGTGCTTGTGAAAAAAATTGTTAAACAAATTTCATGTACCCCCTTTAAGGGGCTGTATCTCAACAAGGGATGCTCCAAAGAAGTTTCTTTATATGAAAGATCCTATCTTGTTTTCGATAAGGAATCACCTCCTTGAATGTTTTACACTTATTCAGTTACACCCTGTATAGTAGGAAATATTTGAAGGGCGAAATTGCAAAGAAACGACCACATATGGCGAAAAAAAATTGTTCCATCAAGACAACTCACCGTGTCACAAGTCAATCAAAACAATAGCAAAACTACTAAAATTGAACTTAGAATTGCTTCCATATCCACCGCATTCGCCAGATTTGGCTCCAAGCGACTACTGGTTGTTTGCATACCTCGGAAAATGCTCACCGGTAAACATTTTTTCTTGAATGAAGAGGTTATTGCCGAAACTGAGGCCTATTTTGAGGCAAATGATGAATTGTTCCACCCAAGTTGTATTGAAATGGCGCTGATTGTGTGTGTGGCTCTTGATAGAGATCACGTTGATAAATGGAGTCAATTTTGAACAAAAGAAACACGTTTTCTTTCTTAGGCGCGAGACTGGAAAGTCCCGCGCCTAGATGGTTTTATGCCTGTTTTTTTGTCTTTATGCCTGTGAGGAAAATAAAGTACAAAAATATACACTTTTATGTAGTTGATAACTGAACTGTAGAAACAAAATGAACTGGTGTGAGACAAATATAGTGTAGAACTTTTTTTAAAAAGTAATAGACCCTAATTCCGAAGTACACATTCTTTATTTTTTTCAACATCGAACTCAATTTGTGAATGAATTTACACCTCCCTTTATACAGGGTGATGTGAAGAGGCGTAAACTTTTTTTCTTCTATTTTTCATACTTCCCGAAAAACTAACAAAAATATTCCAATAACGTTTCACCACCCTGTATGCAAGCCTCGGGAATTTTATTTTTCCATAAAAAATCGAGCGGCATCGACTCACCCAGTTAAAAATAAAATCCCAGAAACAATGCGTCCGAACAGTCAAAACTGGGCCAACTATTTTAGTATTACCGCGAATTCAGCGTCGATTTCTTTGCGTTCCCGACGCTACCGGCAGACTAACGTCGATCGCAACCGACGCCCCCTTAGCGCCGCGGCGCCGACGCCGTCCCAGTTGCGAGAGCATTCTCCAAAAGTAGGGCCCGTAGCACGTCACTTCGGAGATTGCAGCTCACAAAATTTCAAAGTGATTTGGTGGTGTGTTACATTGTAGAAAAAAATTTTGAATTCAGTTAGATATAACATTGATGGCAACTTCTCACAAGGGTGAACATTATTTGGGATCTTGCTGTTCTTTCTGATCGATCGAATATGTTTATTTTCTCTTAATGTTGATGAGTTAGTACCTGTTACATGTGTATGTGGTGCCCTGCTGTAAGCTAGGGCCTCTCTAGAGGCTGTGTTGATGAAAAAAGTTTTCATGTGTAGCTAAATCTAGATCTTGCTGCTGGGTGTTTATGTTTGGATACAATGCTTTTGTCCTATGTCAGTCGGGTTAGCGGGTTTTCTCTCGTTCCTTGGGCATTGGTGTTCCTGTGTATGGGTTGAGTTATCCTTGGTAAAGTTGTCCAAGTACAGTTGCAGGTCGTTCGTTGATCAGTCCAAGTTCTGGTGGGTCTCGGGGAATAGGTAGAACTATTCATTTCTGGTCTTTTCTAACAGTGGGCTGTCTTTTACCTGATCGCTATCGGGAACTCACTAAGGATGTCCTGGAACCGCTCCAAAATATCCTCCAGGGCTTCTAGGAGCCTGGCTGGAAAAAATGGGAGCTTATTCTTTGGGATCCACCTTGGGCCTCCGTGGGTTTGGTTTTACAGTGTTTAATGGTTCGTTGAAAGGGAATCGCTAGGAAGATTGTGTGTGTTTCGTACTATTCTCTTATTTGTGGTTAGTAATCGCTGTGTTAGTTACGGGGGTATCGCGCAGTAGATCATGGCTTTATACTACATGATCGGTCTTATGTATGTCATGTAGGTGTGTAATAGGGCTTTGCTGTCGCAACTCCCGAGCTTGCCCCTTGAAGTCTTTAGAAGATTTGCTTTTTTCTTGACTCTGTCCAGGGTATCTCTCAGGTTGGCTTTCCAGTTGAGGGTTGTCGTGAAGTTAATTCCTAGGTAGGTCACTGATACAAAGGTTGATTTTCATCTTCACTATCAGCAGATTGTCAATAGGACAACAAAAATGCTGGGCTTTGTGTGCAGGACCACCAGAGTATTCACTTATTTTGATTCCATTAGTACCAGTGTCACTCGCTGGTGCGAGTGGTCAGCTTCTTCAGGGGTTTCTACATCCTGAGTTAACTCCGATGACTAGATATTACGGCTGCATGAAGCAAATTGGTGTTGACACATGTAGTTTGGTGTGCTAATACCTGTAGCTGGATTGAGTGAACCTTGACCCTTTTCTATCTGATGTCATGCTGTTTTGCTATACTTGAACTTCTTAGGGATGGGATTCCATATTCGGTTGAGGTTAACAGCTCCACCATGGAGACTGAACAGGACCAGCGGATATCATTCCTGAATGTGGTGCTGGACTAGTTCACAAAGCGTGGCAAAAACCAACGCACATGAATAGATACAACACACCATCCTTGGCAGAAGAGAAGAGTCATCTCTACTCTAGGCCATGAAACTGAAGAGTTCTACGGTTCAAAATGCTGAGGAGGCTCAGATAGTTGCACTTGGGTATCAACCGTATGTTCCTTGGGTCACAGACATAATTGGAAAACTCTTGGGGAGAAAAATATTGAAACCAAGAAGATACAACAAAGTCTCAGGTCGGCTAAAGACAAGAGAGGCCCACTATCAGCAGCAGGGGTATATCGCATATCGTGCACTTTTGGGAAGGTATACATCGAAATCATCGAAAGATCCATGAAAACAAGGCTGAAAAAACTGCAGACTGGGCCAAACGGACAAGTCGACTGTGGCGGAGCACGTACTCAGTGAAGGAATCCACAGGATTTTATTTGGAAACATGGAAATAATTGCTTCCCTAACCAGGGATACCATAGTCGACTGGTACGGGAGGAAATCGAGATCCACAAACACACAGATAATTACAGATAATTTCAACAGAAAAGAAGAAGCTATGAATCTCAACCAAGAATGGAATCCCATTCTAAGTTCCAAGAGCCATTGGGGCTCTTTTATGCGTGAAAGCTCTGACTTTGAGCTGAGCTGTAGCTCAATATTGGTTCATCTTTGAGCTTCACAATGATTCAACCTTTTGTTCCACTCATCAAAAGCTTTCTCTCGAGTTTCACGAAATGCGGTGCGAAAGTGCGGAAGATATGAACAAGATATGAGAGTTTGACAACATGTGTGTGAAAAGGAATTATTTTCAGTACTCTCCGATGAACAAGCCAGTACTTGCCGCAGAAAGAGCCCTATCAACTATTTTTTTCGAATGAAAAGAGGGAGCTTATGCTAAGTTTTTCAATTCACTATGAAATGGCCTTCACTTTCGTAAATTCCGTTAATCGGTTGCGAAGTTACTGATGTTTGAATTTGGGACAAGAAATACTCCATTTTCGAATTAATTTCTAACCCTTTGGTTAATTTCGTGGTTAATGCTACCAAAAGTTCTGGCGATTCCATGTACAAATTCCAGTATTGCCTCGAAATGCGTAACATAAATTCTCGATCTGATATAGCCTTAACGAAGAAAGTCGAGAGGAGTCAAATCTGGTTGAAGAGTAGGCCATTTCGATGAACCGTGCCTACCAATCAATATGCTTGGATGAATTTTATTCGACCAATCTCTCACAGGCCTGAAAGAATGTAGGACCGCACTATCTTGTTAGAAAACAACCAAATTTTCGAATTTATCTTAATTGTTTGCCACAATTTCTTGAATCCGTGTGTAAATGAAGTATTGTAGAATTTCCAGGTATGAATCGTCATTCAGATTTTCCTCTGAATATATTGTTTTCGGGAGATGAATATTTCAACTTTGCTGATGAGATGCGCACCGAGAAAAGTATTGAATTTCTGGTGATTGGAAGATACCTTGAGAGTGCTGATCTTTGAAGTTCGTGACCTTTCTATTATCGAAAACTCTTTTAGAGGAGCAGTTTTTTTTTACTCTACGCCGAGTTGATACAGCATGTCACGAGTCCACTTTACTACTTCAACGAAGTTGACTAAGAGTGAGTTATCATTAATTTCAATGAATATTGATAATTATCCTTATCCAAAAAGGCATTGTTTTCAGGATTTTCATATTGCATTTTCAAACGATCTACAGCATAATTATAATAAAACATGTATGTGAAACAATTTGTGTTTTCAAGGGATAATCCAACAGGGAATTTGTACAACTATGCATTTCATGATGTGTAAGACCAGAAAAGCAAATTGTCTGATGATGGAGTTGAATACAACCCTTTATAAGGTTTCAGCATTCACTCCACTGCTAGACCCGGACCAAAAACTGACGCGCTACGTGCAATCCACCATCCTCGATGTTTTATATGTCGAACCCGCGCAATTTTCACGACAAACCAGGCGGCACTGATTTCTTGCGAACCAGCACCATAATCTCGGACGAGTCCTATCAAAATATTGAAGGATTAAGGTTGAGCCTCTATATGGAGTCTCGTTACTTTGATGGGTTTTCATGTTGGCCAATTACTTTCTTTAGCGGGCTCTTCTTTCTATTCGGAGATGGTTCGCCGGGGGCGAGCACTGGGAGGAATGGAAAAAACGCTGATATGGAGCAGGAGAAGGAAATGATTTTGTTCTTCAATCGAAGACAAGTTTCAGGGTAGTGCTTGTGACAATTGAAGTATCTAGAGAAAGTCAGTCATGTGAATAGTTATTATTCAAAGCCCTCTCTAGTAGTTCATAGCATTACAAAGATTTCAGATTGTAATTCATATAATTCATTAATTGCTTCTTTCAATATCCTTTCTTCCCAATATTCCTCGATCTTTTGCTATATCTTCAGACTAGTATACGTTCTCCTTTCGGCTAATCAAAGAATGAAGTGAAAGTTCAAATTTCGCGGGCTGCAGGGGCTTTATCTTCAACTTTGGTGTACAAAGTTCTAATTGTGAGAACTGCTTCGGTGGCGATTTCAATATCAGGTAATTCGTTGAAAATTCTAAAATTCTAAAATTCTAATATTGAAATAGCCACCAAAGCAGTTCTCACAATTATAACTTCATACACCAAAGTTGAAGATGAACCCCCGTCACTTTTTGAACGAATATGTATAGAATTCCATGTCAACTATGTTGATCAAACGTCAAGAACTTAATATTGCTCCAACTCAATTTTTTATAGTACTTTAACCCTTCATTAGGGAGATCACTCCCAAACTCTCTACAATTTTCAAGGAATTACCGAATATTGAAATAGCCACCAAAGCAGTTCTCACAATTAGAACTTCATACACCAAAGTTAAAGATAAACCCCCGTCACTTTTTGAACAAATATGTATAGAATTCCATGTCAACTATGTTGGTCAAACGTCAAGAACTTCAAGCTCCAGAATAACCTCTCACAGAAGTGATTGTAGACACCATCCTGAAAGATGTGCTCTAGCTGAACATGTCAACAAGTTTGACCACCATATGCATTTTGTTGCCACTAAGGTCTTAGCTAGTGAAACACATTTAACAAAAAGGTCCTTTCTTGAAATGGCCTTCATTGCTGAAAATAAAAATTGCATTAATGAAAAAACAGACATTAATCATCTCTGTGAGATATATTCCTATCTTTTGACGTTGGATAAAAATCCATACAACAATGTTTCAATGAATTCATCATATCTAGCATCAATAGAATGATGTACTTTATATTTTAATCCAAATGTTATTATCCTAAATTCACTTTTAAAATTTACACACAGGTAGAAAATTCCAAAATATTCTTCACAATTTAAAGTTGGCAACAGCAGTGAAGATGTCCTGGAATCCAAATGGAATGACGAAACAAGTGTGCTATCGTCAACAAAGCAATGAATTGAATTCTTGGTTTTTACTAACAGGTAGTCGATGTACAATAAAAAGATGCTTGGAGATGATATGGAT